TTGTGGGAATAGTCCATTGACGATGTGTTCAATGCGTCCTGCGACGTTGAATTCCGGAATGAGGGGCGGTCCCGACAACTTACCCATAACTAATTTGTACGGTAAGCCCCAGGTGTCATGTTCTACTAGATCGCAAATCTTCCTCCACGCGTCTTCATTTGCCCTCTTCATAGCGTGTACTAGATTCCTCTTTGCTGCCTTCGCACTCTCTGCTTCTGTTCACAGGTCCAACCCGTTTCCTTTTTCTTTGGAAAACCCTGCGCAGGTGGTTGGCAGTTTTCCGGAGTATGCCGATTTCAGGGGTCCACCAGTGGACTGATTTTCTAGCTCTCTTTCCAGCTGGGGTTACAGTACGGCAGGCGTGAATAGCTTCAGTGAGGGCCAGGACACTTTTTTCGGCTTCTTTACAGGATGAGACTTGGCTAAGACTTCCAGTCGTTAGTGCTAATTCCAGTTTTTTGAAGTCAATTTTTGGGAATCTAGGATTCTGTGCAGCATTATGCTCAGCGCCAAGGTGTACATCGAAGACGATGTAGAAATGGTCGCTGAGCGACTCTTCGTCTACACTCTCCAGAGCGTCGAAGTCCCCTGTAATAATAGCTTCAGTTCGCTCACTTCTTAGACTGAGTTCTAGTCTGGTTAAGAAATCCAAATATTCCGGGAGCGTGAAGTTGGGTGACCTAAAGCACGAGTAGAATCTTATTCCGTGCGCTGAGATCCACCTAAAACCCGCTTCCCCTTTACCTTCGTCATCGAGTCTTGTCCGCTTAATGTTTACGACCTAACCTAACCTAACCTTTGCCCATTGTATCCATGTACCAGTTTTGGCATTCGTCTCAGTTAGGCTCGCTTGCGAATATGAAGTCGTATGACTTACATAGTAAGACAATGCCATGTATTTATTATCTATGAAATTAACCTAACCTAACCTAACAAAACGGCAATAACACTAATCCAACTCCTTATCAATTTTGGTTTGTACTTAAAAAAATTGTTAAATTCTTAATTATTTTCAACACTCAGAAAACGCAAATTGCATAAATGATTTAGATGCAATTTTAACTCAAATTCCCACTGATTCAGACATAGACATTAGCACTTTATATACTGATAAAACACCTTTTCGGTTTAAAAAAACCTGTCCACTTTGTATAGGGAAAGTTGATTATGTCTATACATTTAGAAATTCCTGACCAAAATGCATTCATTTATATTTGTGGATATATTATGAGTAAATCTCTAACCAAACATACGTGTCAAATATGTTTAGAGTATGCAAAAACACAAAAAAACATTAGATCCTTCATTTTTGTTATGTTTTTTTTAAAGCGTATGAAAATGCTGAAAAATCAACGTTTGGGAATTTAAATATGCCTCATGAACATTTTTACAACTATCTTTATATTTTAGAATCCGAATTTATAATTAATATTTTTCCTACTGTGGCTGTGCAAGTAGGAATAGGCTACTTAAAATGAGAATGCTCAACATCCATGTCCCAACTTTGACAAAAATCACCTACTCAATTTTTTTTGCGTTTTAGAATTTATGCTTCTAAATTTTTAAATAGACATTTAGTATCTGAAAAAAAAATTAAAAACAGAAAATTAGAAATTGTACAGCATTTGTAAAACAAATTTTTGTAACTGTACTAATATTATAATTATTTTGATGTATTATAGTTTAATAAATACCTTTTTTTTTTTTTAAATATGAGCTAATTACTAATTGAATTGTATAATACTACATTAATTGTTCCATTTATGTTTAAATATCTGTAAATCAATTATACATAAATTATGTATTTTATGACTTGTGTAATAATATTATGTGTCTTAATGTTGTAAATAAGATATAGTTAAGTTATAAAGAAAATAATGTACTTTGTAATCATTTAGAATTCTTACCTATTATAGATTTATCTAGATTACCTACCTATTATATGTAATTTTTATGTTTTTATATTATGTACTTACCTTTGTTGTTCTTTGTGCATAACGTCCAAGCATTAAAATAAATATTTTTATTATATTATGTATGACTTCATCATCATCATTGTGTAAAGCTTGTGTTAACTAATAAAATAATAACTATTGCCTTTAACAGATTAATGTAATTAACTTACTGAACAATTAATAATTAATAATAATAAAATAGATCGATCTTGTCATGCTAATTACGATTTACGATCTTTATTAAATGGAAATAGATTTTGAAATGGTAAATACTAAATAGTATAGGATATTAAATGGCATATACAAATATACAATAATAATGTATAACATCTGAACAATAATTTAGTTAAACGCATGCAGCTACACTGATTTGGTCGCACCCAATCAGAGAATCTTACTTTTTTTCCCATCGTTTTCGGCCGAGTGAGCTATCTGTTTTCATCACGGCTTTAGATAGAAGCTTGTTTTCATATAGTCAGTGATAGTATGTTCCATCGTAAGCAACTGATAGTGGGATGGCGTATACAGTCGTACCACACAATCGCGCAAACATATAGTGAAACTACATTTTTTTTTTAACATGAAAATAAATATTTTGTTTTCTCAGATAAAAAAAACCTAATATTCCATCTTCTTATACACTAGCTGTAGAGATTTAATTAATTAGTTTTAACTCAAGTTTTAGATACCTACCTGTAAGGCTATAAGTAATGTGTTAATATTCTCACTTTTGTCAAAGATTGAAATATAAATAATTAAAATATTTATACACATGTGATAGGCTATCAATTATAAATAAGTACTTAATAAAATAAAATAAATTAACTTTTTAATTCCAAAATTTAACATACATTTTTGCTAACTTTAACCCTACCCACATTCATTGTGTAATACTTATGTATAAAACCTTTAGTATATACCTATTATATTTGCAAACAGAGATACAATAGATATTGACAACATTTTAAGTTTGGAAATATATCATAATTATATGTATATAAATTTTTAAAATATTATTGAGTTAAAACTAGAAAACATTTACATTATTAATAGTATAATGTTATACAATATTTAATACAATGGTTTTACACTTTATAGGTAGGTACTTATAATAAATAATTTAATATACATTTTAATTCTCTAATAATAAAGCATATTACGCCTAAATAATAAATACTTGTTAATACTTAATCGATGAAATAAATGACTTTATAAGTAGGTAGGTACTATCGAACAAGTAATTTTTTACCATTCGKTGTAGATGATCGTGAGTTCCATTTTACATTTTTTCAAATTCAGCAACCCAATTATTACAATCAGCTAAATTTGTTAAGATTGATCTACATTTTATAAACTTTTCTCTTTTTTACATAATTACATTAGAGTAATTTGTTGGTAAAATCATGTTAACTTGGTTTAACTTGACTTACAATTAAATCAAGTAAAATGTACTTAATCATGAGTTGAATTTCAATTTAAAATACAGTAGAACCCGTTTAAGACGATTTCCCGGCTAATACGCTCATTTTTACGAGTCCCTTGATTTTGACAACATTTAACAGGTAAAAAAAAATCAACTCTGGATAATACCCTCTAAGTTCCCGGATAAGACGCTCGTCTCGTTAATGATGTTAATATAAAAATACATTGCATCTTTTGACAATGCTGACGAAACGTTACAGCATCTTAATAAAATTGAAAACTTCTTGTATTCAAAAAACATAAAAAAAAAAAATGTGAAACAAAGAAAGATAGATGATTTTTTAAATAGGTAATATAAAATAATATGTAATATAAATGTAATAATTCACTCAGCTAAGTAAAAAATATAATTTATTATTCCCGCTTAAGACGCTATCTTTAACTGGTCCCTTAGAGAGCGTCTTAAACGAGTTCTACTGTACATAAACAAATACGTAATTGATAATTAAATGATTAAAGTACATTTAAAGCAGGCTATTTGAAATGAGCCAATCAGAAACGTAGAAAATATAGCGTAGGAAAATTATGGTATGTTAATATGCGCCCGGATGCACAACTATTATTGTTTGTTCCGGGCCCAACGTAGTATATTAAATAATAACAATAAAGCACCCACCACTCACCAAATTTTGAAGCAACACATGGATTATATAATATCCATCACTGAACATTTATGTAAAAAAATTTCTACAATTAAGATTTTAATTTGCAACCAACGACAAACATTTATAAATAATAATACTTTTTATTTCAATTGTTAATCTCAAACCCTTGTTTGAGGGRCTCTTTGAAATGCCAATTTTTGAAAATCCCTTTTTAGTGGGTTTCTACATCAGAAAACTTGACTACTGTCCAAACTTCATACTCATAAAATTAGCGATTCTAAATAAGCGATGATAAATTATTTAAAACAAATTGTTTTATAATTAGATAATGCATGTTGAAAAATGATTTAGTTTTATATTAAATATTTAAATATTCAGAATTCATAGCTCATAAGAAGTCAGTCCAATAATAATATACTCTTTTATCTATTAAGCAATGCATACAGATGTTACATACGTTTCTAACTTGAAATTGGTTTTTAAATACAACTATACAGGGATTAACTAAAACTTATGAGAAAAACAGTTATTTTATTTGTATATGCTTTAGAATATTTTTTCTTGAAATTTTTCTTTTAGATTTGCAGGTATAGTAGGATAAGTACCATAAAAATAAAAATAAAACAACCATAGGGACTTACTTCCACTACTCAGAATGAGTTTTTATTTATTTAAAATATATATATCAAGAGTATAAGAATAAAAATATATATAATTAATAAATACCAAGATTAATTTGAAACTTTTTGCTGTTAAAAAAATAAAAATAATAATAAACAAACAGTAACGATTAAATATGATAGTTATCAACTAAAAATTATAGTATTAAGTTTATTATACAAAATAAAAGCGTCTCAAAATAAAAAAGCAATGTCATTTTAAACAAAAATAAAAATATTTTCATGAAAACACTTCAATATAAATACGCCACATCAAAATTATTTATACATATTATATGTAACGGGAAGTTCTATGTYGAGTTTGCAATTTGTTTAGCAGTTATTTCTGCAGGCATTCATTTTTATGATTACAATACCAGTCAACATTCTAAAAGAAAAATAGAAAAATAAAGTCTTAAATAGTGATAAAGTTTAACAACAGTATTGTAATTTAACAAATATATTCAAATATTCTTACTTGGCAGTTTATGCAACAGTATTTTGCTATATTACAGACACTGCACATCAAGATTGCTTCATTGTTACAATGTCTTGTATCACACTGAAAAAATAAAAATAAATGTTTTTAGAAAATTAAATTAGCCATCAGTTTTATAAACATAATTTAGACGATTCTAAATAAAAAATTTAAACTAGTAATTTCCTAGTTTTTAAAATTGATATATTAAGAATAATAGATCATAAAATA